TCAGAACCCCCTTCCCCTCCCCCTTTCCTGATGAAGGGTCTAGGCCCAAAACGTCAGCCTCTCTGCTCCTATGATGCTGCTTGGCCTGCTGTGTTCATCCAGCTCTGCACCTTGTTGTCTCGGATTCTCCAGCATCTGCAGTTCCTACTATCTCTGGTAGAAGGGAGGCTCGGTCTTGATTAAATTTTAAAGGTTTATTACATATTACTTAGCTAGTTACATTAAATCTAAGATGCATCTTGTGAGATACTTCCATTTAAGTGTTCTGTTTCTCTTTAATAACTCTAGCAAAGAAATTAGTCACACTTTGAAGATATCTTAGTTATCTTAAAATCACAGATCATTAATAGGCTGATGTAGTTCTCCAGACATTTGATCTGAGGAAAGCTGTAAATTTTTTTTCTGCAACTTTAAACTAAACTGCATTTCTGCATAAACTGCATATACTCCACAGCTAATGGTCTGAGGTCCTTTCTGCCCTTGGTGCAACTCTAGTACTCTTACGCAGCTGTTGGAAAAGTAAATGTTTATACAACACGAAGAAGAGAATACCCACTCTCTAGGTGTTTAAATTAAGGTCAAGTAGGTGTTAAAAATTCCCAGGAGGACAAAGACAGCATACTATGACCCAGGACTTATACTGTGTGTTGGTGTCAAACCCAGGCAGTCTGACACTTGTAAAAACAAAGTCCTGGAGAAACTTAGCAGGTCTGGTAGAAACTGCAGAGAGAAAGACAAAGTATTTTGAGTGTTCTTCAGAACAGGTGAGGTTTTAAAGATCATCTTAAAGGAGGAGCACGAGAGTTAAGAAGGAAATTCCAGTGCTTGGAGGATCAACAGTGTCATTTACCAACTAGATAGTTCAAGGATGTACACCACAAACATTTATTTCTCCTGTTTTGGTACTATAAACTAAAATAGAAGTCAGACACTGCAGTTGAAATAGCAGGAGAGCTTTGCAACTTGAAAACATTAAGAGGTGCGGTGTACACTTTTAGCTGTGTCAAACAATCTTGCTTTTCAAAGCAGTAAGGGGATAGTTTGAGAATGACGAATTTGTGAATGGGAAATTATGGACAAACCTATTGCAATTGTTTTGGAGGTGTCACTGACAAAATTGATAAAGGAAAGGCAATGGATGTAATATACTTAGATATTCAGCATATATTAAAATTGAAGTGTTCTCATCCCATCTCCCCATAACTTTCTACCATTGTTATTCTATTTTTCTCCTGTCCTTTCCTCTCCTAAAGCCTGACTCCTTGCTGAGTTTGGTTTCTAAACTGTTGGTGCATATTAGACATTCTTGTTGCTTATCAATAGACCTCCACTCTGTAGGGCTGATAAAGTCCCACAAAGAGGCTTCTTATAAAGATTAAAGCACATGAAATAGGAAGTAATGTACTGGCACAGATTAATGATTGACAGACAGAAGAGAGTATGAATGAATGGGTAAACCTTACAGTGGCAGGCTGTCACCAGTGAGGCACTGCAAGGATCAGTGCTTGGACTCCAGCTGTTCACAACATATATCAGTGATTTGGAAGTGGGGATGAAATGTGATATTTTTAAATTTGCAAATGATACAAAGCTAAGTGGGAATGTGTGCTGTAGGAAGATGTAAAGAGGCTGAACAGGATTTAGTGAATAAGCAAAAACATAGCAGATGGAATATAAAGTGGAAAAATGTGAGGTTATCCACTTTGGTAGGAGGAACAAATGTGCAGAGTATTTCTTAAATAGCAAGAGGTTGGAAAGTGTAGCTTTACAATGGGACCTAGGTGTCTTTGTCAATAAGTCACTGAATGCTAACATACGAATGGAGCAAGCCATTAGGAAAGGTTATGGAATGTTTTTATTGCAAGAAAATGAGAGTACAGGAGTAGTGTTATCGTTCAATTGTTTAGGTGCTTGGTTATATTGCACCTGGAGTACTGTGTGCCGTTTGGTCTCCCTATCACTGGAAAGGTATTGCTGCCATAGAGGGATTGCAACAAATGTTCACCAGACCTGTGCCTGGGATAGTGGGATTGTCCTATGAAGACAAGTTGGGCCTACAGGGCCTGTGTTATCTAGCATTTCAATAAATAAGAGGCAATCTCATTGCAGCTTATGAAATACTTAAAGGGATAGACACTGTCAATGCAAGTAAGCTAATTCTCCTGTTGTGGGAGTCGAGAGCCAGGGAGTACAATTTAAAAATAAGGGGATGCCACTTTGGTCTGAGATGAGGATTTATTTTTATTCAGAGGGTTGTAACCCCTTGAAATTCTCTACCACAGAAGGCTGTGGAGGCTTGATCTTTCAGTATTTTTAAGGTAGGAAATGATAGATTTTCAATTTCCAGGATGTACGAGATTTTGAGGGGAGGTGGGAGACGTGGTAAGTAAAAGGCATTGAAGTGTTTGATCAGACGTGTTTGTCTCGAATGATGGGGCAGACTCAGTGGGGCGAATGGCTAATTCTTGTTCATATGAGACAGTATGCCACTGGGAGCCTTTGAGGGAAGTTTGCCTGATGACAGTCCTCTGATTACTTGAGCTGCAGTTTGTTGTAAAGTTGTAAGTGCAAGGCAGCCACAGATATCCAGAGCCTGCGAACGTCTCTCCCCCCTCCACCTTTCCATGTGAGTAAAATGCCGATAAACCAAGAAAGCTCAAATAAAGAATTCTAACAAGAAAAGACTTAAGTCCACTGGATCTGCTAAAAATCAGTGTTACGGGCAACAGCATGTCATCATTGCTGAAATCAAAGGAATTGTGAGGGACAATTTAACCCATCTCTTGTGACTTTTGATCTTTGGAATTTTGTTTTCTCTGTCTATATTTTTTCCACCCATGATATGCGTCAAAATTATTTGCCTTTTGTTCACTTGAATCCTGAATGAGTGAGAGGAATTTGGGATTTCTAAAGGGATATAGTTTAAGACACATAGTAGTAGTTTAGAAATCCTTCCTTTTCTCTGCCATGTATCAAAGTTAAGCATGTTATAATAAAGTTATTTTCTGTTAATAACAAATCCTAATATAAATTGCTTTTGTCCTTAATAACACTCAGTCAAGCTAATTCCAAAGAAGGGTCACTAGACCTGAAACATTGACTCTGTTTTCTCTCCATAGATGCTACCAAACCTGCTGAGGTTCTCCAAAAATTTCTGTTTTTGTTTCAAATCAGTTACCTTGGTTGTCTAATAGGATTTTACAGTTTATAATAGTTTGTGAAACAGTGTGGCATGATTCTTGGTGCACTGTTCCCATTTAAATTGGGACAATCACACCTTTATTTTCTATCCATATAAAACAATCATAGAATCTTACAGCTTTTCAGTTGCTTTCCACAACATTATGGGAAAATGAGATCAACGTCCTGACTTTGCTATACTTTACAGTCATCACTTTTATGATACATGTGTGGTCAGAATAATAGGTGATACTTACCAAGCCAATTTTTCTTTTCATTTCCAACACATTAGATTACTGTTCATCTACTTTTCAGCCACTGCTATCAATTTTGCTTTCCCAATATTCTTGGAATGGACACTTACGTCAGGATTCACCTTTCCTGCACCACCCTCAGGTTTAGATGAATGTAAGGTGCAACTAACTGATAATGGTAAAGGAGCTAGACTTGTTCTTTCTTCTAGGTGCATAAAATGAATACAATGAGTTTGAAAACGATTGTTTTTAGGCTACTGACACATTCACCAGGATTTTATGTTGAGAATAATGATGAAACTGACTGTACTCACCATTATTACAATGTAAATCAGACCGTAACTTCCAGCTTTCATATATGAGCAGCTATGCATAGAAATCTGGAACTGGTGCATCATCACCCCAGACAATGTTATTTTAACTTAGTAAATATATGTTTCTAGAACCAATGGTGCAGAAAAAGCGGGAGAGATTATTGTTAAATATGCTCTTGTAATCATTACTAGGTAAGTGTAAAATGAAGCAAGAAGAGACGCAAAGTTCAAGATATAATGTACTGTGCCCCGATCAGAAAGCATATGATTTGTGGCTTTGTTAGTGTAATGATTGGAACAAGGTGGATCTTATTGACCATAAGCTCCTTGTTTGGGGTTGTTAACCTGGGCCAATCAGGGAGCCCTGGCTGACCAATGTAAATAGAGGATTCAGAATCTCCTTGCTTGAGGGCCTGACTCTGAGCTCCCTTGGCACAGCCAGTGTGCTGTGCCCATATAAATAAAGGGTAACTTGGTGATAGGATACTGGCTTCTGTGCAGTTATTTCTGTTAGTCTCTTTACTTTACTGTAGTTTGATCAGAAACCTGATTGGAGAAATTGAAATATGCAACTTTGGATAGTTGAGCTCAAGTTTGGAAGGTTCAGATTTCATTCATTACCTTTCTCCTGTGAACAATACTACACATGACAGTGAAATTTCTATTTTGTGCAAATTAAATTTGATCACCTCGAACACTGTATATTTGGGAAAGTGTTAGATAACTGCATTGTCTAAATTTTGAACTCGTGGTGTAGCTACTTTAGAAATATAATAAAACACATAATAATAAGAAGCAGAGTATAATGTATTTCATTACAAATAATTAAATAAATTGTGTAACAAGGTAACTGTTGTAAGTTCTGGCATCAATGACTGGTGGCTTGAGGCTGGGAGAGATCCATGCTGAGTCCAAGGTACTGTCTAATTATGAGCTTTTTTTCAAATTCGCTCATGGAGCATGGATGTTATTGGCTGAGCCAGCATTTATTGCCCATCCATAGTTGCCCTTGAGAAAGTAATGGTGAAGTGCTCTCCTGAACTGCTGCAGTCTATGTTCTTAGGTAGATGCATAGTGCCGATAGGCAAGGAATTCCAGGATTTTGAACCAATGACACCGAAGGAATAATGATATCTTTCCAAATCAAGATGGTAAACTTGCAGGTGGTGGTGTTGCAATATATCTGCAGCCCTTTTCCTTCTCGATGGTAGTGGTCATGAGTTTTGAAGGTACTGTCTAAGGACCTTTGGTGAATTTCTGCTGTGCATCTTGTAGATAGTGCACACTGCTCCCACAGTGGTTTAGGGAATGAATGTTTGTGGATGTGGTCAAACAAGCTGCTTTGTCAATGGTGGTTTCAAGCTTCCTGATTGCTGGAGTTGCGCTCATCCAGGTAAGTAGGGATTATTCCATCACACTTCTGGCTTGTGCCTTGTAGATGGTGGACAGGCTTTGGGAGTTTGGAGTTACTCACTTGTGTTCCTAGTCTCTGATCTGCTCTTGTATTTATGGGTAGTCCAGTTGAGTTTCCGGTCAATAGTAAATTCCCAGGATGTTCATAGTAGGGAGCTCAGTGATTGTAATGTTGCAGAATTTCAAGAAGTGGTAATTAGATTGTCTCTTATTGGAGATGGTCATTGCCTGGCATTTGTGAGGTACAAATGTTACTTACCACTTGTCAGCCCAAGCCTGGATATTGCCCAGGTCTTACTGCATTTGGATGTGGACTGCTTACTGAGGAGTTGCAAATGATGCTGAACATTGTGCACTCATCAGTGAACATCCCCATTTCTGACCTGATGATGGTCATTGGTGAAGCAGCTGAAGATGATTGGGTCTAGGACACTGCTCTGAAGAACTCCTGCAGAGACGTAGTAGAAGATAAACCACTAGAAGTTTAATAAGAAGAGGCACTTGTAATATATGTTATCATGCATTAAATGTGTCATAAGTTACAATTATCATAGAATCCCTACAGTGTGGAAACAGGCCCTTCAGCCCAACAAGTCCACACTGACCCTCAGAACATCCCACCCAGACCAATCACCCTTTAATCCCCCTAATCTAGGCATTCCTTGAACACTACGGGCAATTTAGCATGGCCAATCCACCTAGCCTGCACATCTTTCGACTGTGGGAGGAAACCGGAGCATCCGGAGGAAACCCACGCAGACAGTCGCCCAAGAGCGGGATCGAACCCAGGTCACTGGTGCTGTGAAGCAGCAGTGCTAACCACTGAGCCACCGTGCCAAATTAATTATCATTAACTAATTCAGAATAATTACAAGTAACCAGGAGGCTGGTGTGTTATAACTGTCTCCATTGGGATCTTGTTCTGTCTCCACACAAAGACTGTGTGACATCATCAATTTCAGCAGAAGGCTTTACATCTCAACATTATTGTTTTGTACAGTAATGCCTGAAATAATTACTGTCCAATGAAGCTTTGATGATTGATTGAGAGTCTGAATCTAAAGGTTCCATTTTAATTTGTTCCAGATGGATTGTCCATGAAGAGCTGTTGTACAAACAAAAAGTATAACCTATTAATATCAGCAACGTAATAATTACATTCAACATTTCAGATCTACATCAAACAATTATCAAACCATTAGTCTCCAGATTTGGTTTATCACTATACACTTTAATAATCAAGCCATAAATCTTGACAGTTTCACAGTGCCAATATATAAATGTAATTTATATCATCCAGTTATTCTTTCCTCTCGACACAATTGTTTCACTATATACAGATGATGGTTTCAAAACGGTGCTGCAAATTCTCTTCATTTTCAGAGTCTCAGATACACACAAGAACAGGAGTATGCCATTTTTGAGTCTACTCTACAATTCAGTTAGATTGCGGGTGACCAAATTTTAATTTCATCTATCTGCCTTGGTTTCATAACTGTTACTATTCTTTCCTATTATTGTTAGTGTTGAAACTTTCAATTGATGTTGTCTCAAATTCTCAGGAACATTCCATTAACATGTATTCAGAACTTATGCTGAATTTCTAGGGTTGCGGGGGTTGGGAGGTAGGGGAAAACGGCTCACCTCCCCTGAGGAAAAGTCTGTTCCGAATGCACCGAATTTAAACTAGATCATCCCATAGCCATAACGGATTGCCCAGCAGTTGTAGCAAACTCAGCAATACTGGAACCGAGTAATGTGCACTACTGCAATCAGTTCCTGGGGTGAACAACATGTCACTACTGAACTCAGGCATATCTGGGGATTAGGACAGGGCAGGATCCAGAGGCTTAGGGAAAATACAAAGGGGATGCAGTTTTGAGGTTCTGAAGGTCACATGGGAAGGTATAAAGGACAGGAGGGTTCACCATTGTGCCTAGTACAGCCCCTGAAGAAGCGTGCTTCTTTCCATCCTTAACGTTGCTGAAAATAAGGCTTGCCCATGTATGGGAATAGACGTGGATTGAAGTCCTTAAGTGGGCAATAATTGGCCTTAGGACAACTGGCCTAACACACACACACACACACACACACACACACACACGGTTTTATATATCCTCACTGAAAAACCACTTTGGGTGTGTGTGTGTGTTGGGGTGGGGGTTGTGTGGTTTTTGTTGTTGTCACATTCCCCTTGCAGTTTCTGTTTAACATGCCTAATCAGGACAATACATTTTCATAGGACTGATGCCAGTCACTGAGGTTTAGATTTTTACAGTGAACACTAAGAAAATGTTCATAGACTCAGTCCTTGCTCAAAACAGCAAAATCTTCCTGCCACAGCTCTTTTCTTTTTCTGAACTGAGGAGATTCTAAATCCCCTGTGTAAATTTTCTTTTTTTTTAAACTCCTACGTTACCTCTACATAGCAGTAGTGCTTATTTGGTACAGCTTTTTCTAGGACGTGATTTGATTCAAAATTGATTGAAAATAAAGTTATGATTTTAACCTTTTTTTTTCAGAAAAACTAGTTGAGTTTCTGGTCAGAAAAGCATTATAATCTTCCCTTAAAAATCTTCTTTACAAATCTAATCCCCAAAACTTCCAACAAAACTATAGCTCTGATTTTGACCTCTTCTGCCTAACTAGAACAGGGCAAGTGATTTTGGTGAGATGACAGGTGGGGGGGAAGCAGTGAAAATACTGACATAGCGTGCAATGCACATGTTTAATGGACTTGTTTGGCCACATGTGAATGTCTTCACGCAGACTGGCAAGTCCATCTTTGTGATACAAAAGTTAAGGACTGATGATCATATTGTAATCGGCAACAGCATAGTTTGTTCCTGGTGTCAGCCTCACTAGTAAAAACCAGCACATGGGTTAGCAGACGAAAAGGACAGCCAAAACATATTTTTTGGAATAACAAGGTGTAGAGCTGGATGAACACAGCAGGCCAAGCAGCATCAGAGAAGCAGGAAAGCTGATATTTCAGGCCTAGACCCTTCTTGGGTGCTTGCGAAAGAGGCAGGAAAATAGAGTTGAGGATTATCAAATCAACCAGAGCTCATTGAATAGGGGCCCAATGGGCTGAATGGTCAACTTCTTCTCCTACATCTTACAGTCATGGTACAATTTTGTTTTAACATCATTTCAGATGATTAGAAACTATAGCATTGCTATAGATATTTCTGGACCCTTAGGTTGGTATTTTCTAAACTGATTCCATCAGAAATTATTTCTAGGCAAGTAACAAGATTAGATTCAGTAATATCCTGAAATTAGGATATTCAAATGGATGAACAAAAAGCAAAGTACTGGTAGTATGGGACAGTATAAAGAGGGGGACTGACAATATTTTCTGAAGCAAAGAGTGAGAGTCCAGATGGCCGTGTTGTCTGCACAGTGCCAGGACATTTGCTCAGGAGTGGAGAGGAGCTTGTAGTGGAGAGGAGCTTGTAGTGGGAAGGATAGATCCAGTTATTGTGGTCTATGTAATTATCAATGATATACATAGGACAAGGAAAGAGGTTCTACATAATCAATACTAGGAGCTAGGCATCAAAATAAGAAACAGACCTTCAAAAATAATGATTTCCACATTAATATCTGAGTCACATGCAAATTGGCGTAGGGCAAATCAGATTAAAGAGATGAATGTATTAATTAAAAGTTAGTTCCGGTTCATGGGGAATTGGCTGTGGTACCTGGGGAAGTGGGAACTGCACTGTTGGGATGGTCTACATGTAAACTGTGCTGGGACTAATGTTCTTGAGAGCTTCACAACAAGGGAAGTGGAGAGAGTTCTGAACTAAATAGTGGGGGCAAGGGACCAAATTTAGTAAGATGTAGTAAGTTAAAAAATAGACAAGGCATGAAAGAAAGTTATTAGTGTGAGAAATGAAAACAGACTAGGACAGGAGGAACAGAAATTACAGATCTAAGAGTAAAGCAGCATACAGAGCTAGAGGCTACAAAAATAATAAGAGGACAGAACTCAAGGCATGTCTCAAGGTGTATCTGAATGCACATAGCATATAAAAGAAAACAGATGAACTCAGAGCACAGTTGAAATGAATAAATACGATCTGGTAGCCATGATAGGCTAGTGACTGCAGGATGATGTACATTGAAATCTAAATCTTGCGGGGCTGGGGTGGGAGGTGGGAGGGCAGGATGACATTTAGGAAGGACAGTTTTTTGATTTGCACCCAAGGTGAGTTTGTAGGTTTGTTGATGTCCCCTTAAAAGGCCTCATTTTCCCACTCTGCCGGAAGGGGAATTCAAAAAGCAAATGTTGGTTTCTGCAGGGGCCCTTGTTGTCAGGTACACAATGGCTATTTGAGGTATCAGTATCTGAATTGGGAAAGGACCTACTGACAGCCAATACCCAACCCCAGCCCATTTTTCCAACCCCACTCTCGACACCTTCATCCAACACACTGGCAGTTGTGGCCTGGTTGTCTTGCTGATCTTGGATCTATACCACTGCTTCCCCCTGGTGGCAGTGACAGCAATGAGAAGCATTGATCATTGCTACTTAAAACGGCAGGCTTTTCTCAAAAGAGGGTGCTATGGGGCTTTTGTTGGCACACTTTCTGGCAGGCAAGACCCCTGTCCTCTGCACTAAATTCCACCTTATGCGTGCAGCATATGCTTATCGTCTCTGAGTTAGATTCTTTCATCATATGCTGTTGTCTAATAGACCTGATAACTGGTCTTGGTATAAGGAGAAGGAAATAGTTAGCTCCCTGGATACAGTGGGTCAGCACTTTCGGATGGGCACCATGCTGAGCAGACACAGTGTGCAGCCCCGACTCAAGAGCCCAGAGGGCATGAGTTTGAATGAGTTCACTTATCAGATGTTTCGGGCATACGATTATTACTCTATTACTCTAGACTGAATTGTTGAGGTGGTTTGGAGTCCTGGTTAATATGATTTCAATATGTATTTGCACTGTGAGTCTCTAAAACACACAACTAACAGGATGATTCAATGATTATGCAGAGGTCATCCCTGGACACTGCAAACAATTTTAACATGGCCGATCTAACTAATCTGTACACGTCTGGACTGTGGGAGGAAATCAGAGCACCGAGCAGAAACCCGTGCAGAACGTGCAAACTACATGTAGACGGTCACCCAAGGCTGGAATCGAACCTTGGTCCCTGGTGCTGCGAGGCAGCAGTGCTAACCACTGAACCACTGTGCCCACAATGTTCTGGTCGTGCAAAAATAACCCTATTTTACATCATGAACAGATGAATCATTTCTCAATTTTTCCCTACATTGTCTGCTGAAAATAATGAGACACAACACTTCAGACTTGTGATAAAAATGAGGCGACTGTCAGCACTTGCCATTGAACTTTAAATTGCACAGCAACAACCAGCGACCAGAAATGTGCCATCAGAAATGGAATTCAGGAAATTGTCGTACAAGTAGCCCTGCTTCTCCAGAGGCTTTGCAAGATCAATATCTCAACAAGCTGAAATAGCCAAGTAAGTCAGTGAGTTCAAGGGTAATTAAGGATGGGCCATAAATGGGATTAAGTATTGGCAATTTTTGGACAAGGAGTTCTAGGGTTTTAAAAAGGGATAGCTGGAGAGATAGTGGGATGCATTTGTTTTGACCTTCCAGAGTTCCTGGGATTCTAGAACAGTTTCCAGCTATTAGAAGATAACAACCTTAATCCTGCTATTTTAAGAAATGAAGAAGGTTACTGGACAGAAAGCAAAAGAAGGGACAAATGTATTATTTTAAGATTAACTTTTGGAGTACTGTGTACAGTTCTGGTCACCCTGTAGTAGGAAGGATATTATTAAATTGGAGAGGGTTCAGAAAAGATTTACCAGGATGTTGCCAGGACTGGAAGTTTGAGTTATAAGGCTAGGCTGGAAATAAGGGCATAGATAAGGTGAATAGCAAAGGTCTTTTCCCTAGGGTGGGTAACGTCAAAACCAGAAGGCATATTTTTAAGGTGACAGGAGACAGATTGAAAATTGGGAACTGAGGGACAACTTTTTCACACAAGGGTGGTTCGCATGTGGAATGAAATGCCAGAGGAAGTGGTAGATGCAGGTACAGTTACAACATTTAAAAGA